TTTTAAAATACTTGTGTAGGGCTAGTTTCCTCCCGAACAAGTTTATATCCTTTGTCCACTCAAATTGGTTAAATGGGGGGGTCGGGACAAAAGATAACCCCCTCATTAATACCTGGGTTTGTAAGGGGGTGAGAGTGATGTCTGACAGGTTAACTACTCTCAAGTCATCCGCTAGTACCGTCTGCGTGCTCTTCCTCGGTATCGGGTCTGTCTCTGAGTTTGAACTTCCCCCTCTCGGGGGGGCTGTCCTAAAAAAGCCACCCCTTTCTTAAGAATTCCCTTATTGCTTTGTGGAGTGATGTTAGTAATTGGAGCTAAAGTTTGTTCAGTGTCTGTATCGGACGTGTCATAGTCTGAAGTCATATAATGGTCAGAATCAGTCCTAGTGATTTTCTTAAAACGTCGATATACCTTCCCATTCTTATAATCATCATTGTCCCTAATAAATTTGCTATGTTTACGACTTTTTACATTGTTCTGATATTTATTGAGGTTTTGTTGTAATTTTTGTTCCTGTGAAATATAGGAGGGATCATCCTTACAACTCTGTATCCCTTCTATGGCTATGTTGACTTTTTCATTCACTGTTTTTAACCTTTCCGATTCGAACCTTAGTAAAATGTCCATAAATTATTAGAGCAAGAATTGGCTGCCTCCTCCCACTCTTTTAGAAGTACTGGATCATCCATCTCTACATTGGGAATGGTTTGTATTCTCAAGCCTCTAGGAATCATTGCCTTACTTATATATTTTTGTAATGAAGTCACCTCCCATCCCAATCTAATTTGCTGTTTGCAAAGATTTGATAATGATCTAAATTTGGCATTTATATTGTCTTGTTCGGGTAGATATGTTACCTCTTTGTCAGAGAACACTGAGTCTATATCAGTACACCACTGATTGGACTCTTTTAGCTGGGATAGGAAATTAGTCATGATGTACTGTACTCTGTAATGTAATGGTGATAATGTGATGACACACTCAAATGGTATTGAAATTGAAACCTCTAATATAAAGATAGTAGTAAAAAAAGTAGAAAGAAGGGAAGGCACCTAAGTGCCGAGAATCCCAACTAGAGTGTGTGAGCAGAACTTTCTAGGGGGTAACCCTTGTATATATACAGTTATGATAGGAGAGGAATGTGATCCCAGGCTAGGGTAGCAATGGGAACACTCGGGGGAAAGTACTGCAGTGAAATATGCTAAAAGAAATAACTTTATTAAGGGTATCTACTAAAAAGTATGATCCCAATTAGAGAAACTGTTGCAAATAAAACTTACTACACCATAACCACTAGAAATAAGTAATAATGATGGTGATGGACTTGATCATCTAATGTGAAAAAGGAGCTGGAAGGATAGAAATCTATAGCCTTAATAACTAGACAAAGCAGCCTAAGTAGATAACCTGTCCTAAATAGAGACAGGTAGTAGTGATCTAGGTACTAAGATCAAAATTCTCATCATGTGGTCAGATGGACTAAAATATAGAATCTGTCTATGTCTATCAAGTAGCCAAAACAGATAGTAGCTCCAAAGATGGAAACAAAAACACAATATCTCATCTGCCTAAAGGCAAGTGACTAGTAGCCCTGCGCACTTCTATTGCCTGCAAACAGCCAGGTTTGTAATAAAAATAAGAATGCTGACTACTGCCACTGCTAATATAAGGCAGTCCCGTCTGATCCTGTGGAAGAAAAGAAGATTCTACTCTCACAGTCTGCTGCAAATGGTCTGCGGTTGCTAACAGCTAATAAAACGAAATCCAGCTGATAATGAGTCCATAACCCCCACCCTGTGGTCACATCAGTGCTAAAAATTAAAAGAAGAAAGGGACCTAACGCACGTTTCGGCGCTCCCAAAGCGCCTTTGTCAAAGGTAAGTTTGATACTGTTCCTAGCTCCGTTTAAATATCCCTCCTGTTCCTCCTCCAGCCAATCATACCAAGGGGCGTGTTTAGTCCGTGCGCGCCGAAAAATGCCGACGGCATAGAACTATCAATCAGCATCAGTCACGCCCCGTGGGTGTGAACGGGGGTGGGTGTCTCCGGCCGTATCATGCTTAACACTAAGCATGTCAGCTAGGAGACCAAACGCCACCCTCATTGTGCCGGACGTGTGAATTGTTATTTGGATAGAGGGCAGCGCATCTGCCCAAACGAAAGAGACCCCTCATGGCCAGACAGACGTCTGGTAGATCAAATGCTTACATATGTATTCGTCCCTGACGCTCAATAAACGTTATGGGGACTCCAAATGGTTAAATACAATGTGACAATAATTGTGAAGTCAATGCATAGTGCTCTTTGGGACATATTTTTGTGTATTTATAATATATATGTATGCCCTATTTGAGCTATCCTGGTAATATAGTTCCTAAAATAAAACCCAAAGGGCACCCTTATACATTATGAAGGGTTTCTAAATATCCTAAGGGTAAAAAATACGGATGTTGCCCCTGGTCTAGATTGGATGGGGTAATAGGAACGGGAATTGGCGTAATCTGCAACACTCAATTCCTGAGCCAACATCATCTTGTAGGAATGCAACTGAAAATCTAAATGAAGAATCCTCCTCAGACTGCGGTCTGACATTACCAAAGCAACAGCATGTTTTCGAGCAGAACGTGTTGGCGACTGCTCAATTGCTGCTCTCACCAGCTGCACATTTTCCAATGTTCTTATAGATCTGTGTCGGCCATGTGTGACTCTTCTAAGCGTGGCACCAGTTTCCTCCAACCGCCTAGCCCATGACCGAATTGTGTTTGCATTAGGAATGGCGTTGTAGCTCTTTCTGTCACGATCACAGACTGGTTGTTTTCTAAATACGCCCGCATGGCAAAGTCTTGATGTACTCTGGTCCAAACCATATTGGCTACTGAAATGGGGTGATGGATGGAACACAATGAGATTAGGTGTCTCTCAAAACTACTCAATCGGTTCTGCTGCACCCTGTATATGGAAAGATATAAGATAACTAATCAATATTATTATGTTATTATTTATATAGCTCCAACAAATTCCACAGCACTTTACAGTGGGTGGACAAACAAACATGTAGTTGTAACCAGACAAGTTGGACACACAGGAACAGAGGAGTTGAGGGCCCTGCTCAATGAGCTTACATGCTAGAGGGAGTGGGGTAAAGTAACACAAAAGGTAAGGATAGTATTAGACTAATGATAGTTGCAAGAGAGGAATCAGTTGGGAGCTATTAACAGTTTAATTGATATGCTTTTATGAAGAAGTGGGTTTTTAATGATTTTTTGAAGGAGTGGAGACTGGGTGAGCAGTGAACGGAGGAGGGAAGTGAGTTCCACAGGTGCAACCCTCTAAGAAGTCTTAAAGGTGAGCATCAAAGGTGGGAGTATGGACAGAGGATAGACGTAAGTCTTCAGCATAGTGTAAGGGCCTAGATGGGACATACTTGTGTATTAGTGAGGAGAGATAGGTGGGAGCAGCATTATGTAGAGACTTGAAAGCAAGAACCAGACTTTTAAATTGAGTCCTATATCTTACAGGAAGCCAATGTAGGGACTGACAAAAGGGTGAGGCGTGGGATTTGTGGGCAGACAGGAAGATGAGCCTCGCCGCCGCATTTATTATGGACTGTAACAGCGCAAGTTGGGAGCATGTAAGACCACTGAGAAATGGATTACAGTAGTCAAGGTGAGAAAGAACAGTGGAATGCATCCAGTCCTTTTCTGATAAGATTAACTCTGTAGGTAGAGAATTGCATATGTTTATAACTCATACTGTAAAGCACCCTTTCTTCTGCAGTTAACAAAAACACCTTTCTTTCAGTCTCAAAGGGTGGTCTCTTGTCTGCAGTATATTCCTGCTAATGAATAGGTTTGCACATAGCGGTTTGAACTAACCCTATATATGTTTGTACTGCCTGTCATATCCCCAATGAGGTTTTCTAAAGCAAAATGCATTTTTTCTAGCCTTTCCTCATAACTAATATTAATGTTGCAGCTTGCCTCTGTACTAGTTTTGCAATATTTTTCCTTAAAACTGATGCCTAAAATTGCACTACATATTCAAGGTATGGTCTTACTATTGATTTATAAAGAAGCATAGTTATTTTTGGATCATGTGAATTAATACCCCTTTTTATACACGGAAGCATCTTATTAGCTTTTGCATCCTGTTTGTTATCTTTTTCATTTAATGTTATCACTGACGCAAACCATTTCTGTCCACCCGCACCTCCTACGCCTCCCCCCTCTGTCAGTCCATACATTGGTTTCCTATAAGAATTAGGGCTCAATTTAAAATTCTGGTACTTTCTTACAAACCTCTTCATAATGCTGCTCCTACCAACCTATCCGGTCCTATCTAGGCCCCTACATTCTGGCGTAGACCTGGGTCTATGCTCTGTTTGTACTTTCGCCTCTGATGCTCCACCCAAAACATCTCTAAGGCCCTTCTTTTTTCCTTTAGACTCTCACCGAGCCTCCATTCCTTAAAAAAATTATTAAAAACTCACATCTTCAGGAAAGCATAATAATTAACCTGTTCATATTCTTCTCTCCCCGCACCTTGCTTCTTTGTCATGCCAATAAAAAAACATTTACACTCAGCAAAAACTATTGTAGAAACCTACTTATCTACCCTACCCTTACCTTTTGTGTCACCGTACCACACTCCCTGTAGCATGTAAGCTCATTTGAACAGGACCCTCAAACCCCTCTGTTCCTTTGCGTCCAACACATCTAGTCTACTTCTTTACAAATATTTGTCTATTAGTCCATCCACTGTACAGAGTTGCAGAATATTTTAGTTCTTTAAAAATAATAATATCAAGTGGTGTGTGGATTCTGTATTCCAAAATGTATGGTTTTTCTTTTATTTGTATTGAATCTCATCTGCCAATCGCCTGCACGGTGCTCTAATTTATCAAAATCTAACATGTTCAGACTTACTTAGTTTTGTGGCATCTACAAACACAAACAAATGACTTGCAATGCCCCATTCAACATCAATGTATAAATATTAAAAAGAAGTGGACCCATGAAAGAACCCTGGTGCACTCCACTTACCACTTTGTCCAATATTAACATTTTCCATTTATAACTACTCTCTGTTCTGTATCTTTAAGCCATTGTTCTATCCAAGAACACATTTTTTCATCTAAACCAAATTATTTCATTTTAACAGTAACTTTTTATGTGGATCTGTACAAAATGCATTAGCAAAATCTAATTAGATCACATTCACTGGAACACCCAGCTCTATATTACTACTAACGTCTTCATAAACACAGACATAAAGCAAACATCATTCTTTTAAGTTTGAAAAACTGAAGTGGGCTTTTTTCTAGTTTGCCTTTGTGACATTGCAAAATTTGGCCATATGTGGGAGTGTTT